ATAATAATAATTAGCAATATTTAATGTCTAAAACAATAAATGAAAGGAACATACATTTTAGATCCAATTCAATACGCACCCTGTATTTTAAAAACTTTTTGAAACATTTATTTGAATATGACAATATAATAATGAATTAATTAATCTCTGACAGAGACTCCTCCTATTTCTATAAGCCCCACCCCCCTCACTCTTAGCTTAGAGGTCCTGTGAAGCACTTTTAAATGTGCATTTTCGTTCAATGTGTGATGCAGTTCGAACTCAGAAAGGGCGGGGCCTAGAGTAGCTCCTCCCCTTTATGAAAGCAGCCAATCGACTTTCATCTTTATCACAGCTCTGGCAGTGAGAATAGTTAAGCCTAAATGCATCAGATGAAAAGCCAAGAGAAGAAGGGGGCAGGGCTTGTCAGACAGAGCATTTGATTGGTCACGTTGTTTCTATAAATTAATCTGACAGAAACTCCTCCCATATTTATTATCCCCACCCTCACTCTTTGCTCAGAGGTTTTGTGAAGTCCTTTGATATGTGCGTTTATGTTCGATGTGTGATGTAAGTCGAACAAAAAAAGAACTGGACTTATAGTAGCTCCTCCCCTTTATGAAAACAGCCAATCGCCTTTCATCTCTATCATAGCTCTGCCAGTGAGAGCGGTTAAACTCAAATGCATCAAGTGAGAAAAAGGGGGCGGGGCATGTCAGACACTAGAGAGCATTTGATTGGTCACAATGCCTCTGAATTAATCTCTGACAGACTCCTCCCATTTCTGAAAACGCCGCCCCTTACTCTCAGCTTAAAGGTTGTGTGATGTATTTGAAAACATGCGTTTTTATTCGATGTGATGAAATTCGAACTTAGCATGGGCGGGACTTAGAGGAGCTCCTCCCCTTTATAAAAACAGCCAATAGTGTTTTGTTTTTATCTCAGCTCTGCCAGCGAGAGTGGATGAGCTCAAACGCATCAAGTGAAAAGCAAATGAGAGGAAGGGGGCGGGGCAGGATTTGATTGGTCAGAAGATTCGATTAGAAACTGAAGTGTGACATCATAAAAATCATTGATTCATTTAGAAGAAATTGACCAACTGCAAGGTTTTGGATGTTTATATCTTCTAAATGCAAAGTTTGGCGCTGTTTTGGAGCACACTAGCTTATAGATATCTTTAAGGCTAACATGCTGATACTAACAGCTGATAAACTTTATTTTGATGACACAGGGACTTTAAAACTTTTATAGGGACTTTTTTGGGGAATCTTTTGTGGTAAAATCAGATGTTTAGTGAATACGGGCTCAGAAAAGTGTTCTTTATCGATTTAAAGTGTCCTTCTTTTCTTCACTTACATGTTTGGTGTGTGTGTGTGTGTGTGTGTGTGTGTGTGTGTGTGTGCGTGTGTGTGTGTGTGTGTGTGTGTGTGTGTGTGTGTGAAATCAACTGAAATAAGTGAATGAGAATGTAAGGAATGAATGACATTTTTGTATTTAAAGTCATGATTGAACCGCGGTGTCCATCCTCCGTCTCAGCGGCTCTCCGTAGGGCATAAACAGCCGTTTTTTTTAGGGCTGATGGCACAATAAAGATGTGAAATCAAGCCTCGTTGTGTCTCGCCTCATTTGTTGTCCGCTGGAATTATTCTCACATGAGTCTATTTCGATTGACGGTATCGTTCACAGCTTGAGTTGGTACAATTTTTTTTATTTATCTTGTGTATTTTAAAAATTTAACTTTAAAGCTGTATTTTCAGCATCGTTCCTCTAGACCAGGGGTCACCAATCTCATGCCTGGACATCTGGTGCCCTGCAGGGTTTAGCCATAGATATTTACACTAGATATCGCATAGGGACCCTGAGCATGCGTCAATAGCGCCGCCACATTGGTACAGTGCTCCCAGGACAAATGTCATTCAACCGCACTAGTCAAGACAGTGTTATTACGTGAAGATGCGGGACTTTAGCGCTGTCTACGGGTGTAGTAATGAGCAAACAAAGAAAACAAAGCACAAAGGCAGAACATTTCACAGGTAATATTAAGTTTTTTTCTGTTTTTGTATGTTCTGAACTTTTGTGCTAATCAGGTCACGTTATTGATGATAACAGTCACTTACTGCATTCACCATACGGCAAAGCAGCTCCAACTCGCACTAAACACTCGGCTTATGCTAGTTTTGTTGAATAAAATCAGCAAACAATGCAAAAGAAATATGACAACGAGATGCTGCGCTGCCAGAAACTTGTATTATTGTCGGCTAACGTTAGTGAAAGAGTCGTTCGGGGGATTCATTCACAAACAATCGCTCCCTCCGTCAGTATGAGAAGTGAAAGCAGGAGAGGAGCTGTGTTTCAGGACATGATTAGATCAGATTTAACAGGGAGGGTGGAAAGTACATTTCTGTACACACAAACACAAGCTTTTTGTCAGGAATGCCCGTGCGGTCACTGATCCATCAATGTAGAAAAGTGATGTCAAATTATAATTTTCGTAATTAGAAAAAAAAATTACACACTAACATCCAGGAAAACTCCCGATCATAGATATATGTGTATATTTCTGGCTTTGCATGGCCACAGTCCTCCACTGTACCTTGGTCCCGCGTTCATTTCAAAGGAGCGCTACCCTGTAGCAAGATGGCGGCGCTATTGACGCATTCCGTCCAATGGACAACAATAGGCCAGGCGACATCTAATGTATATATCTATGGGGTTTAGCTCCAACTGGCCTCAACACACCTGCCTGGGTGTTTCTTAGTGGGTGTTTCTTGATTCGCTTGTTCAGTGGTGTTTGATCGGGGTTGGAGCTTTAAAATCTGCTGGACACCGGACCTCCAGGAACAAGTTTGGCGATCCCTGACCTAGACCGATCTCCAGGTCTGGCAGGAGCACTGTTAGCATGGCTTAACATAGATAATTAAATCCGATAAGACTTTTAGCATTTCGCTAATTGGATAAAAATCGATTTGATGTCAATTGACTGCCTTGATGTCAAAATGGCATCTAACACTAAAGTATTTATGGAACTGTCCTGTTAGATTTTAATGCCAATTTTAGATGTCATTTTGACCGCAAGGTACATGCCTTGTAGGGATAGACAATCCAGTGTGTATATATGTGTATATATATAATAATAATTCCTTACTTTTATATTATGCTTAACACATTTTGGGGGGAATCTCCTCATCCACCACCAGGGCTGGCGCATCCATAGAGGCGACCTAGGTGGCTGCCAAGGGTGGCAAAATAGTGAGGGCAGCCACCGCGATCCCAAACACCCCCACCCTCCTCCCTTACTTTCATCCGTGACACCGCCAAATTTCTCTTCGCGGCACTTCCGTTTTTACTTCCGGGTTGAGGGCGGCGTGATCATCGTTTGCCTAGAGCGACAGTTCAGCTTGCTCCGGCCCTGTCCACCACCAGTGTGCAGCATCCACCTGGATGATGCGATGGCAGCCATATTGTGCCAGACCGCACAGCAACTGAGTGGTGGAGAGGAGACAGAGTGATGAAGCCAATCATGATATGCCAGGGTTAAACCCCGACTCCTAGAGAGTCAGAACCTCAGTTTAATGTCTCATCCGAAAGACGGCGCTCACTGAGCAGTATAGATTCCTCTTCTGGGGAATACTCGGGCATTAGGACCCACACAGACGACAGGTTGAGCGCTCCCCTTCTGGTCTCCCATCCAGATACTGACCAGGCGCAGCCCTGCTTAGCTTTTATGGGCGACCATGTGAGAGCTGCAGAGAGCTAGCTGCCGGCCAAAGAGCGTGTCTTAAACATATTTCAAGAGCATTTTCTGTTCTCCCGCCTGCTTTTCCGGGGGCCGGGTCGCGGGGTCAGCAGTCTCAGGAGAGAAGCCCAGACTTTCCTATTCCCAGACACTTCCTATAGCTCCTCCGGGGTGATCCAGAGATGTTCCTAGGCCAGCCGAAAGACATAGTCCCTCCAGCGTGTCCTGTGTCTTTCCTGGGTCTCCTCCCAGTGGGACACGCCTGGAACACTGCGCTAAGTAGGCATCTGAAACAGTTGCCTGAGCGACTCCGAGCTCTGCCCAGGTGACAGAGCTCCTCACCCTGTTTGTAAGAGTGGGCCCTGCCACCCTGTGAAGGCAACTCGTTTGGCCGAGATCTTGTCCATTTGGTCATGACCCAAAGCTCATGACCATAGGTGAAAGTAGGAACGTAGATTGACCAGTAAATCAAGAGCTTTGCCTTTTGGCTCAGCTCCTTCTTTACCACAACGGACGGGTACATCCACCGCATTACTGCTGCCGCTGCACCCGGCTGTCCAACTCACTCTCCATCCTTCCCTCACTCCTGAACAAAGCCCCAAGATACTTGAACTCCTCCACCTGGGGTAAAGACTTTCCTCCAACCTGGAGATGGCAAACCACCTTTTCCAGGAGGAGCACCATAGCCTCGGACTTGGAGGTGCTGAATCTGATGTCATCGGGAAAACTTTATGAGAAATTTACAATTTCTCAACTACAGCAAAAGATAAATAACTATAGGCAATTGTACTCTGAAAAATTTATTATTATAATTGATATTTTTTGATGCTTAAACTCCTCTTTTTGTCTTTGACCCAACAGCGTGACACTTGTGTATTCATTATTAATGCTGCTGCTTCACAACAGGACACAAGCGTGTCGTCCTGAACATGTAGTCTCCCACAGGAAGCAACAGGGCGCTCTGCTGTTCAATATTTAAGATGGTGAAGTTTATAAGGCTCTGCGTCAGCGCTGCACATGAGACGGCCGGAGAACAGTTGATGGAGAGAATGACAGTGGAGGATCTTCAGCGGATCTTCAGCTCAGGGCTGGAGATGCAGGAGCAGACAGAAGCGGCAGATCCTGACAGCGCATATGGCTCATCTCCAGGAGATACAGACACTGAGGATGGAGGACACGCACTGACCAGCAGCAGCAGCACAACACTCGTATACAACCAAGAGCTCATGCACAAGGTCAATATCTGTCTGTCTGTCTATCCATCTATCATTCCATCCATCTATCCATCTATCATTCCATCCATCCATCCATCTATCGTTCCATCCCTATCCATCCGTCCCTCCATCCGTCCATCCATCTATCCGTCTGTCTATCTATCTATCTATCTATCTATCCATCCATCCATCCATCCATCCATCCATCCATCCATCCGTCCCTCCATCCATCTATCCGTCTATCTATCTATCTATCTATCTATCTATCTATCTATCTATCTATCTATCTATCTATCTATCTAT